ACTTTGAGGCCCAGTCCCTGGACCCATTATGTACCTCTGTAATCTTTTGACTATCGCCCACAGGATGGGTATGGGGTGCATAATAAACATATTAAACTAACTAAGTGGGTGGGTGTAATAGACACTGTCACAGTGGGTGGGTGTTGTAGACTGTTGTCACATTGTGTGGGTGTGGTAGACTGTTGTCACATTGGGTGGGTGTAGTAGACACTGTTGTTACAGTGGGTAGGTGTGGTGGACATAATCATAGTGGATGGTTGTGGTAGACTACTGTCACAGTGCACCCACTGTGACTGTTGTCACAGTGGGTGGGTGATGGTGACAGTTGTCGGTGTGTTAGACACTGTTGTCATAGTGGATGGGTGTGGTAGACAATGTTGTCATGGTGAGTGGGTGCGATATACTGTTATCATAGTGGGTGGGTGTGGAAAATTGTTGTCACAGTGGATGGGTATAATAATAATAATAATAATAATAAGTTATGTCAGCATAATACAATGTTTGTACAAAGGAGAAAGACATTTTGGTGTACATGCCAAAAGCCCCTTTATATAAATGCAGAGCATTTCAGGCAAACTCAAGATTAATAAAGCAGTAACAGTATAAGTAATTTTGTACATACATTCACCTAGGAGTGTAATTTTATATTTAGGAGTTTACAATGAATACAAGAGAATTGAAAATTCTATTCGTTCATGCTATATGGATTTGATAGAGATGAATTACGGACTTGATTAATAATCTAAAGCTGACACAATGGATTGACTAACTTTTGAGAAGATTACAGATATTTAGATGAAGTATATAATTGGGGTATTTACCTGATAAACCTCTGCAGTAGCCTGACCAATATGCAACTTCTTGCAATATGGCTGTAGATGACCTTTTTATGACAATAAGTACAGTAATAAGGTTGAAAGGTCCCTTGCCCATTGGTCCTAGGTTGGGTCCCCTGACCCTGGGAAACTGGGCTCTTCCTACCTGTTCCCCATAGTCCTGGACCTGTGACTTTGAGGGTTGAGAGCCCCAAACCTTAACTCACTCTCAGGGTCGAAAAATTAAAAAAAAAAAAAAATAATAATCATTTTTCTTATGAAATTTTAGAGAATCTTTTTCTGATCATAATGACACCAAAAGTATGAAATTTGATGGAAAACTTACGAAATTATGCTCTCGCGAAGTTAATGATATCAGGTATATTTACCCATTGGAAATTTTGCCCATTTTGAGGCGATTTTTGACCAATTCAGTTGTTCCACTCGACTAAAATCATAGTATTTCACTAGAATCCTTTTTGTTCTTGTTTGGGAAAAAAGAAACCACCATTTAAATTTTAATCCCCAATAAAGGGGACAAAAATTGGCAATTTTGGGCCCAAATACACCCAAAATTTCAGAAGATACCAATTTCAAAATAGGGTCCAAAAAACAAGAAGACATTCGGGCACTAAAAAACATTTTCTTTGTCTTTAGCCACGTCTCCAGCCCCCTCTTAATTTTTATTCTCGCAAAGAAAATAGAAGATTATGTTATGCGAAAAAGGTCCCCATCACAAATCCGGCATCATTGGGCCCTGTAGTGTCCCGGGATTACGGGTTTTGCCGAATTACAGGGGTTAGGTTAGATACATTTATAAAAATTAAACCCAATTAATTTACACGTTCAGAACATCTGCAAAAATAAAACTTTTCTGTACTTTGAGCTCAATTTAAAGGTACTTTTCGTCATGAAAGCAATCAAAATATGGTTTTTCGAATATATCTTCCATTTTAAAATGATCCAAAAAAATGAAATAGACAACCTAAAAACCATACGAAAATTACTGCAAAGAGGGGGTAATGGCGGAAAAGTTAACTCCCTTTTTTATCGTCCGCTTTTTTATTTTTATTGTATTTAAAAACATCTTTCCATCTCATTGCCCAATTTTTCAATGGTACCCCAAACAAAAAACCGAGAAAAAAAAAATACAGTGGAAACCCCCCTAACATCACCTCCCAATGCGACCAATTTTGAAGTGTATTTAGTAAATGTGTTTGTTTTCGTGTATGTTGGGGGGCTGAAAAGGACTAATCTACTTTACAATATTCCTTATGGGAACAAATTTGGTCGTTTTTGGCACCCGAAAAAACCTGGAGTGAAAAAATACGTTTTAACCCCGGGGGCCACTGATTACCAAAATTTATATTGGAAGCCCCCGCCAGGTTTGGAAATAAGTCCTTTCTTTTTGACTTTTCTGGGTTATCCCAGGTTCTCTATACTACACTGCTATGTTTGATAATCTATGTAACTGATTTGTGTATCCTAAAAAAAAATTATTTATTCTAGTCTGTCAATGAGTCAAAAAACCCCCCTTCACTTATTTTTAAATTTCCCAATAAAGTGGGCGAAAAATTTGGGGTTTGCTGATTTCACAAAAAAATTTCAACAGATGCCAATTTCAAAATAGGATCCAGAATAAACAATGCAGACATTCCTCGCACTAAAATAACATTTTCTCTGTTCATTAGTCATGGCTACAGGCCCCTCTTATATTACTCTTGCTTTTCAGTTGGAAGTTTTATTCACAAAAAAAATAGAAGATTTACTGTTATGCAGACTGCTGCATTATTGTAATAATTGTATAAATAATATCAAGCCATTCTTGAGTCCGTACTGGAATTTGGACTGGCAGGCGGACAGGTATTGGACAGTGTTTACTCTTGAGCTTCGCTAAAGAAAAAACATTTTTGCTACTGTGAGCGCAATTTCAAGGTACTTTTCGTCATGAAAGCAATCAAAATCATATCTATTTCTGTAATATATCTTTCATTTTGTCAATTGAGACCGAAAAAATGAGAATATAACCATAACAACCATACAAAAATAGTATACCGCTAAGCGGCCGCTAATGGCTGAGAAGTGAACTTCGCTATTTATGGTTTGATTTCTTTCATTTTTGGTGTACGTGAAGAAGTACCTTTCCATCATACATTGCCCAACTGAGAAAATAATATAATAATAATAATAATAATAATAATAATAATAGCTTTATTTACTACACTTACATGTACAAGGTACACAGGCCTAGCTGACATCAGTGACATACTACTATATAGAAAGCCGCTTGTTACGCAGAGTATTTCAAGAAAATTAGGTCAGTGTCCCAGGATAACACCCACACTAGTCGGCTAACACCCAGGTACCCATTTACTGATGGGTAAACATAGACAACAGGTGTAAAGAAACACACCTAATGTTTCTACCCTGGCTGGGAATTGAATATTTACCAAAAATCATATATGGCTAATCCAAGCCAGGTACTAAAAATAAGCCACGTTGACTTTTTTTGGGTTATCCTAGGTTCTCTACACATATGCTGCTATGTGTGATAATCTATAGAGAGAAAATAACTTTTTTGTTTCATGTTTATGGTGGAGTACGAGTGTATATCACAGTTAGTCCTGTGCTACACTTCGTTTTCTCTAATATAAGCCTCCAAGACAGGGATAGGAGAATGGTATTTGTATACCATATCCTCTTCATACCTCCGTCGAACTGCTCGGTATTATGCCAAATATTATTTATTCTGGAGTATTTAACATGTTTTATGTTATTTATATTGTTTCTTATGTCATATTAGATCAATTATGATAGGCAAATAAGCTGTAGTGTTGATATTAGCATAAAAATAAGCATATTGTCCTGCTTCATGAGACTGAGCTCATGGCAACCGACAGTGGCTTCAAAGCCACCTTATCTTTAATGGATAATGTACTGTGTAGGTGCTTTACATAATGAGAAGCATTTCTTTTATGCTTCATGAGACTGAGCTCATGGCAACCGACAGTGGCTTCAAAGCCACCTTATCTTTAATGGATAATGTACTGTGTAGGTGCTTTACATAATGAGAAGCATTTCTTTTATTCATTGGAACCATGGCTAGGACTAAAAGTAAGCAGGTTAAAACAATAAATGGAGAAAAAGAAATTGGAATGACTTATGCAGCAAGTAGCGCCACCAAACAGTACCAGCAGGTTGGTGTGGCGACCATGGAAATTTGAAATTATGCTAGCCAAAATTAGTGCCGAATAACTGAAGGAACCGAATAACTGATTGCCAGATTTGTGATGGCGGACCTGTACTGCATTATTGTAAAAATGGTATAAATAATATTGGCACACTTGTGAAAGACTATTAGACTCACCAGTTGACGTGTACTAGACGCATGGCGTAATTTGTTTACTCTTGAACATCTGCAAAAATCAAACATTTCTGGTACTTTGAGCTCAGTTTCAAGGTACTTTTCATCATGAAACCAATCGAAATCATCTCTATTTCTGTAATATATCTTCCATTCTATTAAATAAGACCAAGAAAGCGAGAATACAACCATCAGTACCATACAAAAATACACTGCAAAATCTGTTTTATACCAAAAACACTGTCAGATTTTTTTCCTCACACACTCCATGCTACAGGATTTTTTTTATACCGAGCACACTGACCATGCAGACCCATTCTTTCATATGTAGGCCTACTAGCTTTCTTCCACCAGATTCGAAGGTACTAGAATATTGGCGTATAAAAACGGGACTGACAATAGATATCAAACCACACACATACAGGACCGACCCTGAAAGGGTTGAGAATTAGGGTTATTAAAACTCTGGTGGTTATCAGGCTGGAAAACGTGTAGCTTAAACTTCTGAAATTTCTTATTTCTACTGGTGGGAAGAGAAAACTTACCATTATTAGTAGGCTCTGAGTGGTATCTACTACCAATTTTTCAGTTGGCTAAAAATCTGTCACCCAGCTCTAGGGTATGAGTAAAATCATCAAGATCCTTCTCAAGATATGCCTTAAGGTCAGGAGGAACATTTCTTACTTACTTGATTGGCTTACTGACTTACTGACTGAATTTTTAATTGAAGAGGACCCTGAAACGGTGTCTAGAGCAGCTAATGCCTTACCATCAGTTGTATAATGTACTGCAGGGTAAAACAGAACAGAAATTCATTTCAGAATTTATGCAGACTCCAGTACAACCATCGACCTTAGGACCAGAACCTCTACCATCCACCTCAGCCCAGTAGGGCCACAACATAACTCTCCACACTCTTCACAATCATCAACAAACAGCAGCACCCAAATTAAAGGTAAGAAATACTATTATTTCTGTTGCATTTGTAATCTTAATCAGTAAAAACAACATAATACATCACAACAGTGAACATCAGTTACATATTCACTTTTATTTTTTGTAAGATCTGGAGGTATAAAAAAAAGTTGTTTGGCTTTTTTTGGGGTTCCATGGAATGTAACCCTATTTTCCCCATAAGCTCTTCAGTTTATCTAACACGGATTTACCTGACACTGTGTTTTCAGGAACGTAACTACCGTGTTAACCCTTTCAGGGTTGAGAGGCCCTCTCCTAAATTTGTTCTCAGGGTTGAAAATTTTTTTTTGAAAAAAATTATTTTTTCTTGTGAAATGATAGAGAATTTTTTCCCAATCATAATGACACCAAAAGTATATAATTTGATGGAAAACTTGCGGAATTATGATTTCGCAAAGTTAGGCATCTCGACGATGTTTACTCATCGGCAATTTTGCCCACTTTGAGCCCAATTTTTGGCCAATTCAAGTGTACTAGTTGACAGAAATCATAACTATTTTGCTAGAAATCCATTTTTTCTATTGAATGAGTACAAGAAACTACCCATTTACCGATTTCAGCTATCCAGTCAAGTGGTCAGAATTTGGCAATTTTGCCAATTTCACATAAATTTCAAAAGATGCCAATTTCCAAATACGTACCTGGAGTTTACCTGGAGAGAGTTCCGGTGGTCAACGCCCCTGCGGCCTGGTCTGTGACCAGGCCTCCTGGTGGATCAGAGCCTGATCAACCAGGCTGTTACTGTTGGCTGCACGCAAACCAACGTACGAGCCACAGCCCGGCTGGTCAGGAACCGACTTTAGGTGCTTGCCCAGTGCCAGCTTGAAGACTGCCAGGTGTCTGTTGGTAATGCCCCTTACGTATGCTGGGAGGCAGTTGAACAGTCTCGGGCCCCTAACACTTATTGTATGGTCTCTTAGCATGCTGATGACACCCCTGCTTTTCATTGGGGGGATGATGCATCGTCTGCCAAGTCTTTTGCTTTCGTAGTGAGTGATTTTCGTGTGCAAGTTCGGTACTAGTCCCTCTAGGATTTTCCAGGTGTATATAATCATGTATCTCTCCCGCCTGCGTTCCAGGGAATACAGGTTCAGGAACCTCAAGCGCTCCCAGTAATTGAGGTGTTTTATCTCCGTTATGCGCACCGTGAAGGTTCTCTGTACATTTTCTAGGTCAGCAATTTCACCTGCCTTGAAAGGTGCTGTTAGTGTGCAGCAATATTCCAGCCTAGATAGAACAAGTGACCTGAAGAGTATCATCATGGGCTTGGCATCCCTAGTTTTGAAAGTTCGCATTATCCATTCTGTCGTTTTTCTAGCAGATGCGATTGATACAATGTTATGGTCCTTGAATTTGAGATCCTCTGACATGATCACTCCCAGGTCTTTGATGTTGGTGTTTCGCTCTATTTTGTGGCCAGAATTTGTTTTGTACTCTGATGACGATTTAATTTCCTCGTATTTGCCATATCTGAGTAATTGAAATTTCTCATCGTTAAACTTCATATTGTTTTCTGCAGCCCACTGAAAGATTTGGAGCCTTGCAGTGTCTGCAATGGAAGACACTGTCATGCAGATTCGGGTGTCATCTGCAAAGGAAGACACGGTGCTGTGGCTGACATCCTTGTCTATGTCAGATATGAGGTTGAGCAACAAGATGGGAGCAAGTACTGTGCCCTGTGGAACAGAACTTTTCACCGTAGCTGCCTTGTAATAAACAAGACAGACATTCCTGGCACTAAAATAACGTTTTCTCTGTTCATTTGTCACGTCCCCAGGCTCCTCTTACATTTTTTTTGCTTTCCGCATTGAATTTTTATTCTCAAAAAAATAGAAGATTTACTGTTATGCAGACTACTGCATTAGTGTAGAAATGGTATAAATAATATCAGGACACTTGTAAAAGAATATTAGACTCAACAGTTGATGTGTATTGAATGAGTGGCATGATTTGTTTACTTTTGAACTTTGGCAAAAATCAAACATTTCTGCTAATTTGAGCTCAATTTCAAGGTACTTTTCATTGTGAAACCAATCAAAATCATCTCAATTTCTGTTATATATCTTCCATTCTATAAAATGAGACCAGGAAAACTAAAATACAACCATGCAAAAATACACTGCAAAGTCGCTGTTTTAACCCTTTGACTGCCGCAACCCCAAATCCTGAGGTGTTTCTTGGTGTCAAAAAATTAAAAAAAAAAAAATTATTTTTCCTTATGAAATGATAATCTTTTCCTAATGGTGATGACACCAAAAGAACAAAATTTGATAGAAAACTTTTGGAATTACGCTCTCGCAAAGTTAGCGACCTCGGTGATATTTACGAATCGGTGATTTCGCCCACTTTGAGCCATATTTTCGGCTAATTCTATTGTTCCAGTCGACCAAACTCATAGCTATTTCTTTAGAACTTCATTTGTTCTATCGATTGAGTACAAGAAACTGCCCATTTACAGATCTCAACTACCTAATAACATGGTCAGAAATTTGCAATTTGGCCAATTTCAAGCAAATTAAAAAATATGCCAATTTCAAAATAGGGTCCAGAATGAACAATGCAGACATTCCTGGCTCTAAAATAACATTTTCTTTGTTTATCAGTCACATCTCCAGGCCCCCTCTGATATTACTCTTGCTTTCTATTTTCAATTTTTATTCAAACAAAAAATAGAAGATTTGCCGTTATGCAGACTACTGCAATATTGTAATACATAATTGTATAAATAATGTCAACCCATTCATGACTGTATATTAGAATGACTAGTTGGACATTTATTGGACAATGACATCATTTGTTTACTTTTGAATATCAGCAAAAATCAAACATTTCCCCTAATTTGAGCTCTATTTCAAGGTTCTTTTCATAGTAAACCCAATCAAAATCACCTCAATTTCTGTTATATGTTTTCCATTCTATCAAATGAGACCAAGAAAACGAGAATACAACTATAAATACTATACGAATATACACCACAAAGTCGGGGTTTTAATCCAAAAACACGGTGTTTTTTTTTTTTTTCTCAATATGCACTGCGTGCTGCAGGATTTTTTTTTATATGGTGCACATTGACTACACAGACCCATTCTCTCGCATGTGGGCCTACCAGCTTTCTCCTGCTTGATTGGAAGCCGCTAGAATTTTTGAGTATACAGTGGACCCTCAACCAGCGATGGCATCGATTAACGATAAATCTGACTAGCGATTCATTTAAACGCAAAAATTTTGCCTCAACTAGCGCTTAAAAACCCGACCAGCGCTATTCGTTCCGTACCATACGTGTCCACTTTGGCCTGAGCGCACCTCACTTGTCCCTTTGGTGCCAGTGTTTACAAGCCAGCCAGCCACCGCGGTCACTTCCAAACATACAACTGGAACATTTCATATTATCACAGCCTTTTTAGTGATTGCACAGTAAGAAGATAACGCTCTCCCCTCCTCCCATCCCATCAATCATCACCAGATCTTCAGTAAAGGTAAGTGTCATGTAACTGTGCATGTAATCTTCAGTTTGTGTGTATTAAAATTAATATTTCATGTGGTAAAATTTTTTTTTTTTCAATACTTTTGGGTGTCTTGCACGGATTAATTTGATTTCCATTATTTCTTATGGGGAAAATTAACTTGACTAACGATTATTTTGACTAACGATGAGCTCTCATTAATGGATTAATATCGCTGGTTGAGGGTCCACTGTATGTATGTCAAACAAGGTGGCTCGTAAGACATATATATACTACTGAAACATTCAAAGGGTTAAACCAAAAACACGGTCAAAGTTTTTTTTTTCTCATTATGCACTGTGTGCTGCAGTTTTTTTTTATACTGTGCACACTGACCACATAGACCCATTCTTTCATATGTAGGCCTACCAGCTTTCTCTCACTAGATTTGAAGGTGCTAGAATTTATGCGTACTAGTACGTAAATAACTCTGGCACATAAGACGTACTAGTACGTCGGCAACCCTGAAAGGGTTAAATAACGGTCTACTGTATTAATAATTTATAATAATAATAAATATTTGCTCTGGAGTGCTTTGAATGTCATACGTATTTCGTATAGGTTTGGTAGCTGACATATAAAGTACTCCAGAGCAATTATTATTATTATTACTATTGACATACCTTGTTCACTGAGTTCAATCATTCCTTAAGCTGCCACAGTACATCGAGAATGTAAACACACATACGAACACACTAGCTAACCCCTTTACTGTGAACTTCTTATGCTTCCATTTTCCTCTTCCAAGTGTTGCTGCACTCCTAAGTCTATCTTCTACTATGAGAGGCACAATAAAGTACAAATTTATAGGCGAAATATGTAGTCTTGGAGATTGCTTGATGCCGAGACACATCACTAACCCCTTTGCAATGAACTTTTGTACTTCTTCCATTTTCCTGTTGTTTTTCCTCTCGGAAGAGGAAAAACAACAGGAAATTTGTACAAATATGTAGTCTTGGAGACTGTGAGTGGCTGTAGGAAGGAGTATGAGATGCTTGATGCTGAGACACTGTGCTACCCGTTCATGACCCAAGTTCAATAACGACTTGTCTGAGAGACCGTCGTAACGTTGAGTTGTTGGTAAATGAGTATGTCGGTAAGTGAGGAGAGGCTGTATTAATAACACCCTAAAAATCAGCAATATTGCACACAAGAACAGGCAGAAACCAGAGTTTATTGCACCTGCAAAGGTAAAGTATCATTTAGTGTAAGTATTTTATAGTGAATCCTTCCTCTAACCAAACCAATAAATTATGATTACAGCCTCTCCTCACTTAGCGACATACTTGTTTACCGACGACTCGGACTTATGACGGGCTATCTGACCAGTATGCATACCTAAATAATGTATATTAGAGCTGATTTCCTCTATTCTGTTTATTGCAATATGCAGTACACTACTGTGTAACCCTTTTAGGGTCGGTCATGTACAAGTACGTCATTGCATCCAGGGTCGGTCACGTACTTGTACATCTAA